CGAAAGGCAGCGATACAAGGGCGGCGTCCGTCGCCAGCATTCGCAGTCGAGCCGAGTCTGCACTGCAGTCGGCGCCACGCTAGGGGTTGTTGCCAGGCTCCCTCCCGTCTAGGGGCCCTGTGGTGTTGTGCAGCGCTGCATGGTGCTGTGATTTACGCAGAAAAACCCAAGCCGTTTTATTGGGCTAGGTCTGTCTATGCAACACGAAGCTTTGAAAGCTAACAGGAAATGCTTGCTTGTAATATTTGGCCTGATAATAGTAGAGGAAATGTAAAGCAGCTGGGTTCTTTTATAGATATTAATAGATTAGCTTAACTCTGCTCCTGTATCTATGTGCAGCAAAGGATTATGGACAGCATTTCTACACTTGCCCCAAAAGAAGACACATTTTTATTTCTGGATACAAATAATAACTGACTGTGTGCGTAACCTTGTTCAGATAGCTTTAGCTCTGTAAAATCTTCAGATAAGATAAGATTTTACTGGCCTGGGAAATAAATTGCACTATTTATAGCAAATTGTTGCATAAAGTCAAGCAAATCTTATCTGAAAGTCTAGTTTTAACAAATAATTGCTAATTAATCTTATCAATAAAATGCCATGTAAAGTTTTTATCCAAGCACACGTATTTTTCTTGCAGTGCATCGGAACTGCAGCGCTTCGCAATCTAAAGCTCTGCAGCTAAGCTCGCTCTCTATTTCTCTCTCTCTCTCTCTCGCCCGCTGCAAGTGCATGCTTTGTTGGAAAAGTTCGCACGCCAGAGAGTTGATTGCGTTTTCTATGCCCTGCGACAGTTGACAATGAACTACAGAGCCAGAAACCGGAAGTATTCACCTGAACTCAACATTATGCAAGCTGGCGCAGTTAAAGCTCTAGCAAAAGCTTGGGCCCAGCCGCAAAACGTCTATTAATAAAATTTCAAGTACGTTTTAATGGGCGAGCAACTGTAAAAAGAGTATAAAGAAAAGCGTGCAGCAGAAGGCGACACATTAAATACCGTTACACAGGTTGGGCTGTGTGCTTATTAAAAGAAGTCATTCTGTCATAGTCAAATGGCAATTACAGGCGCGCTGACTTCGTGGGTCGCATAACGTAATGCGGCTGATTACGAATTGCGTATGCGTGGCGCGTAAATGAACATAATTTGATTTCAACAATACGAACAACAACAACAATAATCGAAACAAAAGAGTCAGCGTGTCAGCTCCACCAAAAAAAAAATGGGGAGAGAGATGCCCACCCACTGAACTGCGCCGATCGGCGTTGCGCTGGCTTCGTCAATGTCACAGTCAATGCACAAAAGCAACAACAACAACAACAACAACAATGCCTGCATTTACAGCTAGCAGCAAACGCCACACGCGATAGTGTCGGAACAGCAACAACAACAACAGCAACAACAACATGACACAGAACCTGTCGCTGCAAAGTTCAACAAAAGCAGCAGCAGCAGCCGTAGCAGCAGCGACTCAGCCGCCTCGGCGCATGCGCTTACGCTCTGAGCGCAAACGGGCACACACGAAGCCGCGCGCTGCTCTCCACTCGCGCTTGTCTGTGTATGCATGTGTGTGTGTGTGTGTGTTGGTGTTGCTTTGGTTATAACGCGCTTGAGTAGGTCGGTCATTGAACTGGCGAACTTGTTTTCTTTTCATGCCTCTTTTACTGTGTGTGCGTCCGTGTCTTTCGTTTGATTCTTTTGCATGGCCATTGCACACTTTCTTCCTGGTGTGCGCGCGCGCGCTCTCTTAAGCCACCTGTGCGCGCGCGCTCTCCCTCTCTTCCTCTCTTAGCCAGCGCTCTCTTAAGCTCTTAAGCTGTACATGAAGCTGAGATGCTGGCATGACTTGCATGTTGCTTGCAGTTGCAGTGCGTGGCAAGTGCACCGCCCAGAGCTGCAGTTGAAGCTGTCGCTGGAGCTGGAGCTGGAGCCTGGCCAACAAGCTCAGAGGCAAGCAACAATTCTAATTGTGCAGCAACAAAGAAAGCAAAAGGCGCTGCCACAGGCAAAGTCAATAACCCCGTGCAGTTGACTGCAGCTGCGGCAAAGAGTAAGAGTGATTTGATTCCCTTTTCATGACGTGACGGGCAGGCTTAGAAAATAAAAACAAGACGAATGAAAATGTGTAAGAAATAAGTGCATCGACAGGCAGAGCGCAGACAGTGAGTGCAACTGCTGCAGCAGCAAGAACTTGTTGGCGGCCCCAAGTGCAAGAACCTCGAACACACGCCATGTGCCCATGAGCATTTGCCAGTTGAACGCCCTTTTCACGGCAAATGATTCCCTGATGCCGATGCCGATGCTGAGCTGCCTTGCCAAGCCAAGCCTTGCCTTGCCTTGCCTTGGATTGCCTGCCTGCCTGGCGGCCTGCCTGCCTGTACCGCCGCGCAACCTGCCCCAACGCGGGCCCACCGCTGCAGCAAGGATGGTAACTAAATTGCAGCGTTGAACTGGTTTGGTTTGCGGCAAGCGGCAGATTCACTTTTTGTTTGGTCGCGCCCTTGCCAACAACATTCTAATGCTAGACTCCTATGTGTTTGCTGTCTCTCTCTCTCTCTCTGTCTCTATCTCTCACATGCGCCTTCTCTCTCTCTCTCTCTCTCTCTCTCTCTCAGAAATGAAAATGAAAACCGTTGTCAGGCTAGATTGAGTTCGTTGCCTAAGTCTTTTGTTTGGACGCGCAGTCATTGAACTCGGCCAACTCAGCATGTGTGTGCCTCTGCGTCCGTGTGTGTGTGTGTTTACATAACGCAATTCCCAAAAAAGCGCTCCTAAATTCGTGCCAAATATCAATAACAACAACAACAATCGAAGCAACAGCATTAGCTACAAATCATTGAGAGCAGCTTTTTGCCGCTGTCTCATTTGAAATGCAAAACAACCTTTTGCTTGAACGCCTGCTGCCAGCTTGTATAATACATATTGAACTGTGCCTGCCCCCCTTACTCCCCGCCCAGCCCTCGCACAGCTGATCTGTCACTCTGTATGCCATTTAAAATCAATTACAATTGAAGCTATTGCTGTCGACTTTAACAGGTGGCAACTGCGTCTTCGGACAGCTGCAGCTAATGACCTTGATATTGAAATTGAGCTTTGCATTTGCTTAGTGCCTTTGCTCTTGGCTTTGCCTTTGCTTTTGGTTTTGCTTTTGGTTTTGCCTTTGCTTTGTTCATTCATCTCGACGTGAAGCGTCAGCGTTCGCGCCACGTTTCGATTTCATTTCAAATTTGTTTTTGTTTAGACAATATATCACAACTTTTATTGTTGTTGTTGTAGTTTGTTGTTGTCGTGGTTATTGTTGTTGCTGTTACGGCGCTGCGAGTCATTTAAAGTCAAAGTCAAGGTTTTTCTGCCTTACGTCGCCAATTATTTTCGCATCTCTCTTTCTCTGCATCTCGCTCTCTCTCTCTCTCTCTGCCAAGCGCTTCTTATAATATATAATGTTACCAACTTTGTACGTTTATAAATATATGTATATATTTCTGGATATCTGTATGCCTTTCAATCTGTGTGTTTGCCCATTTATTGTTGCTGTTTATTTGTTTAAGGCCAGAAACTGGTTTTGTCTAATTATTTTTGTTGCTCACTTTGCTAGCTTCTTATTTTATTTGTATGATTATTAAAAATACAATTTATATATATAATATTTCTAATGAAATGCTATCCAGACTTGGCAGCTCCTCATCGTTGAGTCAGCGGCAAGTGGCCTAAGCGTATTTTGTTTTTAAGGCTTGATTTAATTTCTCATAAATTCGCCTTAAGAACTTTTTTATACACACCCCATTTTACTAGCCTGACAGTAATTAATCACTTTTGGGCTTTGTATGTTCTTTAATTTTGTTGTTTTTTTTTTTGTTTAGTAAGTTTGAAACTCGTTTTACCCACGGCTTGATTATATAATGCCTTTATGTATTAGCATAACGTACACTAGAAAGTCTTCATCATCATAGAAATTCTTGGCAACATCATGGTTAAAATTATACGCATTTATGTCGACTTTGTCTTAACATCTCTATTGTTGGCCATATTTCAGAGAAAGACAATTAACAAGACATAATTTGTTAGCAAATTGTTGAATTGAATGAAGTGTAAAAAAGACAATTAGCAATTCTCACTTGGTCTTGATGATAAACAAGAATTAATACTAATAATAATACAATTAAAGTGGCTGGCAAATTGATTATGCAATTTTTTATGTGGCCTTCTGTCTGGGATGAGTGTATTTATCGATGGCTCATTTGCATTGTTTTGGTTATTATGTAATGGCCAAGATAAACCAGGAAGTGTTCAGACAATTAAATTGTATGATCTTGTGTAAACAAATTACTATTAATCATCTAACACAAGTCATGGCGCGTTCGCGCTTAATACAAACTATTGTTAAGCGTGCTTTACTTTGAGTTTAGTTGCGGATTTTTTTTCTAAATGATGAAAAGATTTGCAATTGAGGTATGCAAATGCAATCTATGCGCTTTGGTTGCCTTAAAGATGGTTTTTCTTTAGACTTTCCAGAGATAAATGTTTCCAAGCGCAGTTTTAGCCGCACAATATAAAACCTATCCTAAAGATACATTCGGCATGTAACTATTTTACAGATTCAATTTTTTGGAATCTCAATTTAGTTGTTGGGAATATCTATAGCTATAAGCTCAGTTATCTAAAAAGGGCAAGAAAATGGAATTTTATTGAAATATAAGCCTTGATTATAACCATTTCATAGAACCCAACTCTGCGTGGTGCTTCTGGAAGGGTATGAGAGTTACGGCAACAAGTTTGGTAAGTTTATGGAAAGCTTTCTTTGCAGAACTTTCGAGAATCTTGAACAATTTTCTGGTAAGACCTTTACAGATAGATATTTAGATGCCACGACCAAGAGTTCCCACTGGACCTCAACTAAATGATTTGTTAGGCAACTACTTTTAATAAATAATTTAAAAATATGATAAAAATTAATTTGTAGACTATAAATATTTAAAAAAATATATATATAAATAACACTTACCATTGTTATCATTGTTTAAATGCATATCCGTGTTGCCTTAGTTGTTGTGTAGCTGCTGCTGCTGATGTTGTTGTAGTTGTTGTTGCTAATTTGAAATCCATTACGTAATAAATCCAAACGCTTAAATGCTGTTTACTTTTATTTGTATTTGTTGTTTTTCAATTATTATAAACACTAGTTGTTGTTGTGGTTGTTACACATTTTTGGCACTAAAGTGCACACTTGATTTTGTGGGCGGGGTATTTGAACTAATTGCCTAATTATATGTAAAAACTTTGCTATGATATCTTTTGTAGGCAGTCTTATCAATATGCAAAACACAAATTCTTAACTTTGTTGCACCTTTTGTTGTTTGTAGTTGTTGTTGCACAGAATTTGATTTGTTTAGTTTTGGAAGGTGTTTTTTTTTTATTTGTTGTTGTTGTTGTTGTTGTTGTAGACGATTCGCCGTAACGTGCACTTCTACTTCTTCTTCTTCTTCTAAAAGCAATAAAAACGTAACGCGTGCTGCTTACGAAACCATGTCTCGATCGTTTTGTTGCTTACGGGAAACTGAACTACGGATGAGTCGCGTTGCGACTTCAATGTCGAACGACAGCAGCGGCGACGTCGTTAGAGGCTTCTGAAAGCAGCAGCAGCAACAGCAGCAGCAGCGCCGACGCAAACAGATAGACTTTTTCAGCATTTCATTACACGACACGCACTCACACACGGACACGGACAACAGCTCTGCCCGCTGCTTTCTACAGCGACTCTTCTTTCTCTTCAAAACACGCACACACACACAGGCACAGACAGCACAACAGCGGCAGCTCAGGTGTCTCAGGTTCTTGATCACGCACACACACAAAGCCGCAGTCGCTGTCTCAGTCGCTGCCGCTGCTGCCTTCTTTTTACATTGAGCGCAACGCGTCGTCGCGGTATCTCTTCGGCTTCGTGTGTATGTGTGTGTGGTGAGCGCAACAGGCCAGAACTTTCATTCAAGGTGAGTGCGTCGGCAGAGCGGCAGCAGCGCCATCTCTTTGGCATTGAGCGCTGGCACTGCTGCCGCTATGCTTGTTGTTGGTGTTTTTTTTGCCTCGCTCTTTACTCAATAAATTCGTGCTTTTTGCAATAGTTCTAAACGCCTCTAACACATACACACACATACGGCCCATCAAATGGAGAGTGAGCGCAAATTGAGCATGCGAGCGTAAAATTACAACATTTTCAAGGCTCGCGGCAGCAGCAGCAGCAACAGCGGCAGCAGCAGTCGCTGCCGCAGCATTGATCTTGGCAATTGGCGCTCGCGCTCATTTGTTGAACTCTTCTAACAAGTTTAGAATCTGCGCAAGCCAAGCGCGACCAACCGCCACTTGTTCTCATTCTCTTAACCCGTTTCAAACACTCACTTACACACACACACTCACACACACGCACACATGCTGCTCGCGACGCGCTCTCACCCACTCTCTGACCAGGTGAATACTTGTGCTCAGCACTCGTACTCACAATTGCATGTAATTGGTTGTCGTTGTTGTTACTGTTGCTGTCGTTGTTGTTATTGCTGCTGTTGTTGTCGTTGTTGTTTGTTTGTTTTGGCGTATTAAATTTCATGATGCTATAATTGCATATTGTAATGGGCGAGCGTCTCAACAGAGTTGTTGTTATTTTTTTCAACTGGTTGTTTGCCCAAATTGGAACTGGCGAGTTGTCATTTTGCGTAGCTGAAAATAAATGCATAAATTATAATTATATTAAGGAAATAAGAACTAGAAACGTGTTAATAATATAGGGTAGTATAATTGGCTTTTAAACCAAATATAAATCTTTGAAATGTTTTTATGAAAACTTCAATTAAATCTATAAAAAAAATAAATACTAAACAAACTTATTCTACAGTTAAGTCAAGCATTAGAAAATTAACAAATAAAGGTTGATTGTATAACAAGATCTGAGGGAAGATATCTCCGGCGATTTGAACACAATATTCTAAGCCAACAAATTTTGAAATTGTTAAATAAATATAGAATGAGTATAAATTTAGAAAGAACCTTAAAGTTACTATTCAATTGGTTATCAAATTTTTTCTAAACTTCTTCTATAAGCCTTTTGGAGCTCTTAAAAAATCAAAACTTCTATATTTATTAGGTAAAATGCCAAAATTTTTTAAATTTTTGTTTTTTTGATTATCTGTGTTCAATTTACATATAGGATATTTTAATTAAACTTTTCCTAAACTAAGAAATATATAGCGCTAGGTGCTGATTATGTATATATATAATTTGGATAAAAATCAGTTTAAGACCATCTAACATCTGAAAAGGTAAGCGAAGCCATAATCTCAGGCCACGCACAAATCTTGAGAAAATCTTGAATTACAACAAATTAAATACAAAGGCCAGACAAAGGGCTTGGCGCAGAATTCAACAGGCGGAGTTAACCTTTAATTAAGGTTATTAAATATAGTTTTTTTTAATACATTTTCATAGATGCAAGCATGCGGACATTAGAATAAAACAGCGTTACGTACAAAAAGCTTCTTTATAAATACCATAGATTGCGTAATATAAGTTCTAAGAGCCTAGCGCTAGCCACAGAGATAAAAGGGCGGCAAATGAGATAAGACAATAGATCAAATAAATGCCAAATCATTATTTACAACAAAGACATTAAAATGGCAACTAATTGAAATTGGCATTTACATAACTAAAATGTAATTAACGAAGGTAGCCGCTCGTTGAGCTGCGGGCATTGAGAATACCAGCATCGAGCAGTTGCCAGCAGTTGGCAACCCGGCAATTTGGTAAGGTAATCAATATTTTTAGCATTAACTGAGCTCAACCTTGAACTCTGCGCGTTGGTGAACAAACAAAAAAAAAGCGCACAGAGGATTATGAAACGAATCAAAAGACACGCACAATAAATCAGTTGGTGGTTTCAGAAGATCTCCATAAGCCCGAAAGGCCTATAGAACTCCAGACAAGCCGCGCAAAAAGTCATTAGCTTTGCAACACTTACTATCATTTTCTATAAATAACAATTAAGGCATACAAAAGTTGATTCGCTCAGAACTTTAAAAAAGCGACGTGTCGGCTTCTAATGGACAATGGAACCAGCCAACGAACGAAATAATAAATAGAATGAAAAAAATCTAACGAAAGACACGCTCAAGAAACTTGGGAACTGTGGTCATTAGAACCTACTGCTGCGGCTGCTTGTCGTGCGGCACATAGAAAGCAAAAACGCTCCAACATGGGGTCAATAAATTCTTAAATAAATAAGGGGGAAAAAAAACGAAGCTGAAAAACCCGCCCAAAAAGGCAACACATAAGCATGAGCATGCGCGCAATTATAATATTTAGTAAATAAATCATCATTATATTTGTCGGATTTGGTTGATGTGCCTCGCGCTGATGATGAAACGCAGTTGATTTAAGAACTTTCCGAATTTCAAGAACCCAACTGATTAACGCAACTCAATAAATGTATTTTTGGCATATGCATAAAACTATTGCGTCTTGGTTAAAAAATAAGAATAAATACAAAAAAGTGGGAAAAGAAATATTCCCCGCGCTAAAACAAGTTCGTGTTTTAAGTTCTTCGTTTTTTTTTTGCGCCTATCCATAATTGAAAGTAAAAAATAAATATGAAATGCCTATCGAAAAATATTATAAAAAAAATGTTGTCAGCAGGCAGATCAAGTGCGTTTTAGCCCTATACGCATATGTATATATACATATATATATATGTATTATTTAACACTTATACACACACGCACACACTGAGAGAGAGGCCAAGTCATGAGCGCACGTTAACGTCGCCCGCTTTTATGGCTCTTTCATTTTTGATGGCTCTTTCATTTGCTTCTCGGCCTTTTTTCGGCTGCTCCAACAATCATTTCTTTTCATTTCATTTTGAGCCAAGTTTATTTCAAGCTCACGCACTCAGAGAGTTTTGTGTGTGTGTGTGTTGGTTATTTTTTTGGTAACAAGTTCAATGACTTCTTGAAACCAAATTTTTGTGCTGTGTCGTTTCGGTTTCTGTTTTGTGCGGGGCGCTGCTCATTTCTTTTTGGTTCTTCTTCGCAGTTTTTTGTTCTTGTTGTTTTCGTTTTTTATACGTTCGTTTTCATTGCTGGAGTTCATTGGCCAGCGCCAGCAGCCACACTTCAATAAATAAATGATGGTAAAGCAACACCAACAACAACAACAGCAACAATAGCAACGGGGACAAAGAGAACAAGCGCTTTTAAAGTGCTGCCGAAATGGCCATAAATATGCTTTTTATTTATTACATTTTATATTTGAAATTTTTACATATATTCTTTTTACCTGTAAGTTTGTTGCCAGAGTCTTTTGTGTGCGACCTGTCGCTGTTGCTGATTGATTACTGGCATTAAGCAATAATTTTTATAAAATTATTTTGCATGACAGCGCTAGAAATAAAATGGAGTTTACTTTTATTAACTTGCCAAAGATTCGTGCTCAAAAGATGAACTTCGAACAATTTTTTTAAGTTTGTTGCCTAAGTCATTTGTTTAGCGGCACATAAAATTCATGCAAGTTGTGCTTTTACGAAGAAACGAAACTTATTTTATGCCAAAATATATTGTTTAAAAATAAACAACTTTTAATAAACAACCATGGAATTTTTCTAACCATGTTTGATAAATGCCAATTTTGGGCAGATAACAAATGTGGACCGCAACTTCTTTTTTAAAATATGTACTAGATACTATATTTTTAAAGTTGGCTCGAGTCGTGAACCAAAACACAAATAACTTTTAGGTCTAGAAATTTGAGCTTAACTTTTTCTGCTAAAAAGCCCATAAAAATGAACAAAATGAAAGGACGACCGCTTCAAAACTTAATCGCAAGACTTAACCTCAATCTTATAAGAATCTATTGCTGTGTCTATGACTGTTGCCCGTAGCTGCTGTCTGTTGCTGCTGTTGTCGCTGTCTCCCTGATGCTGATGCATTGCCAAATCTGGCCGCAAATGTTTGTTTTCTTGAGCTCATTGTGCATAATGGTCACTCATCAAATTACCAAGTCAGCCACCTCAGACGAACTAGCTGCCACTTGCAGCAGTTGCTGCTGATGATGCTGTTGTTGTTTCTGTTGCCGTTGTTGCCATCAATTACTTTGTATCGCTGCCAACTGAAGTTTGGGCTGCGCTTTTTGGCCGTGCTTAAGTGGATCAGAGCGGGCGACGCAGAAGTTGATTATGCAGCACAGTTGCAGCTGTGTCTATGATTGTTGCTGTTGCTGCTGCTGTTCCTGTTGTTGCTGCTGCCAACTTCTTGCCAGTTGGGGGCGCGAAAGGTGCTAAACACACGCGCCAATTTTGCGGTAAGAGCTCTCACCGCACACACACACTCACACACCTGGACAGAT